ATCAAATTAAAAAATGTAACATTATAATTAATAAGAAATATTTTAATATAAAACAAAAGTAAAAACTATTTGTGTATATATTATCTTCTATTATATTAAGATTAATGAAAAATATATTATCTAAGACATATGTACAATAGGTATTCTCGTGATACTTCACATATCTTCCAATATTTCAGAAGTACACTTTACAAAGAGAGATCTAGATGTTAAGATCAACTTAAAAGAGAGAGAGAAAGAGAAAGAGAGTACGAACAATCCTGATTACTCGTTCTCTCGTAGTTATCAATATCCAAAAATAGAACACAGTGATGACATGGATACATCAACTCCATCACTTACCAGCACCAAAAGGTTGTTGTCCTTCCTTGTCATCGGTTGGTGTCCCTCCTAGACTACCAGGACCACTATCTGCTCCTCCAGTTGCGCTAGGCCATCAATAAGAGAAAATTTTATTTTATTTATCACCATTCATAACAATTTGATTATAAGTAAAATGGTAATATAATCTAAAAGAAAAGAAATAATATTTAAAATATTGAATATAATTTTATCTCAGTTATTTTATCCCTTTTGTTTTTTCTATGATGATGATTACGACAATAAAATAAAAATGAAAAGAGATAGGGGGTGGAAAAAGAAGAAGATGAAGAATAAGAAGAGAAAAATAATGTAAAAGTTCAATCATTTAAAATACCTGCTAGCATCGTCGTCCTTCGTTTGTTCTGTCGTGGTCTCCTGGGGATCCTGAACATTTTGAATTTCATTTGTTTCCGTTGGTGGTACTTGAGAATTACCGTCATTTGGTCCACCACGACTTAATCCTGGAATACCACCGCTGAGCCACCCAGTCATTTGAGATTTAACACCAACGAGCATATCGAACTTGCTGCCTTTTGTGGGACTGTGGAAATAATAAAAAAATCAAATATCAAGTTTGATTAACCATAACGTTGACTTGGTGTTAGTTTGATATTCATGTCAGGTATCAACCTCACCTGCACACTCACCCTCACCCTCAACTCCCCCATAGTCTACTTATATGAGATAATAGATAGTAAGGAAAGATTTATGAAAGGGGGAACACACTTTCATTCATTCGTGATATTTTTATCGTCGAGCTTTTATTAATAATATAAAATAAAGTACTTATTTTTCTCTCTCTCTCTCTCTCTCTCTCCAAGTTTATTGTCATCTTATTATCATTATATTTATATTTAATAATATAATGAATTAATTCTCGCATATTATTTGAAAAGATTGTTCAAATATATATTATCTCGACTTATTTAGCATAATTTGAAACGCAAATTTGATGGTGTTACGTCTTTTGAATTATAATATAATACCATAAATATTCTATATTAATATTTTCTAATATTAATTTAAATGATATATATATATATATATTATATATTATATTTTTTATTATATATATAATCTGTATTACTCTTCCTTTTTATGGGATTCAGAATAGAATAAAAAGTTATAAAGATAATACTATAATAAATCTATCTATAATTAAATTTGAAATATAATAACCTATATATATATATGGGACCATATTTTCATTCATTTAACGTAACTCCTACGCGTGTAATTTTATTGAAAATAGAATAAGATAAATACATGAAATAACTAAGTTTATACGATAATAAATTACAGTTTGGAATTCAATCCAATTACTTAAGAGAAACGATACCTTAATTAAAGAGGTCACGTACATTAGAGTATTTAAATGCAAGATACAACGTAGAACCGAGAAAACACGTGTTGTTATCAGTTAAATGAATCTATTTCTTATCGATAAACCAAATCTAAAGTATTAGATCGATTAACAAAAAGGAAGGGATGATGACACTCTAACACGGAAGTCATCATTTCCCATTACGAACACGAAAAACGGAAATCCTAAAGAGCATGGTGTCGAAGTTTCTATTACAGTCGATACCTTACATAGTTGAATCGATTATTGACCTAAATAAATAAAAAAAAAAAAAATAAAAAAAGATGCAGGAAGTTAGAAGAATTCGGTCACTCACCGACAATCTTCTTCTTATTCTTTTTTTTTTTTATTTTTTTTTTTAGATCTGAATATAAGTACGATCTGTCGAAATGATAATTATTAAAAAATAAAATCAAATTTGTTTTTATATTTGTGACAATGATAATTTAATAAATTGTAATATATCAATTTTAATACATAATAATACATAATATAATTATAAGAATAATGTAAATAATAATAATACATTATAAATAATCATTGGAATCGTGCATTTTATATATATATATATTTTTTGTATTTTATCGTAATTAATTGTTACATTGGAAAAAGAAATTTGTCACGTACAAAAATATAACCGAAAACTTATTATACGAACACGGGCTTTTAAATGTTTAAAATGTAACAAAAAAAAAAAAAAATGTTCTAACTTTTTAATAAAGCGTTTAAGAACCGCCCCCCTTCCCCCCTACCATGTTCATATAACATTTTATTTTCTTATTTTAATATATAAAATACTCTGGTAAAATTTTATGGAGAAAAATCTGAAATATCCTTATACATCCTCTACATATATATATATATATATATATGTATATGTACAATATTTAAATACGTAAAAATGTGGAAAAAATGTTTCTTATTAATATACATTATTTCACATTTAAAATTAATCGTATTTGTTAATATGCATAATTATACTACTACAAGTAATACTTTAACTCTAACATTTCTTTACTTGGACACAAAATTACATAGAATTTGATTAAATAAACTGTTTAAACAAAATTTATATTAAAAATAAACATAAATATATATTATCGTAGTTACACGATGCATTTAGCGAACAAGCTGAAAAATTATTAATTCTCAAAGCAAAAGTTAAAAAAAAAAAAGAAAAAAAGAAAAATAAATCGATGAGAGCAACATTCTTTATCACACTTTCTAATTTTCTCGCACGAGCGTTTTCAATTAATCGACTTTTTAAAAGAATAACTTTGCCAATGTCAAGATCATAAACGACGATCAATAAAAGAAGAAAATATAAATGGCGACTAACTCCTAAAGCAAAAATTCATTTTCAAATTAAATTATCTCGAACGTAACACATAGATATAATCTGAAAAAATGTTAAACGGAAAAAGGAAGAAGAAGTATATTAAAAAAAAAAAAAAAAAAAAAAAAAAAAAAAAAAA